ATAGATAGATAGATAGATAGATAGATAGATAGATAGATAGATAGATATAGTAGGGTTCATGATTCTGAGATACCAGAGGAAGCCACCTTCCTGAGAAGCAATTCCCCGCAACTGGAAGCAATTCTGTCAGCTCGGATCCTTGTACAACCACCTGCTCTTTCATGCCCAGAAGTGTGGCCCACAGGCAGACCGGCTCCATATACCTTTGCACGGTTTTCACTGTTTAGTAAAGTAATACTGAGTGTAAGTCAGCGAAATAGCTTTCTGAAAGCCACCACATCCAATAGAACCAGAAGCTTAATGTATGCCTGATGTAAGCCAAGCTCCCATTGATTCCCAAGTCATCTGTCAGAGCATAATAGGGAATGTGAAGAGAAACAGTAATTTGGCTCTTCGGAAACTGTAGAATATCCATACTTCATCATGTGGGAAGCCTAAACCCCTGCAGAAAAAAATCTGAGACCCGAGCTGACTCGTCTGCTAATTAGGGATAGCCAGAGAGGGTAAGACAGGCTGAATTCCACTTGTCAAATCTCCAGTCCCTAAATTTTAAAATTACAATTTTAGTTTGCGACCTAGAAAGGAAGAATAACAAGTTCTTATACAAACTGTCCTCTCAATTGCTTGTGGCAGGAGGGAGGGTATGGTGCCCATGAGACGGCTCAGTGGGTAAGGGCGCCTGCTCCCAAGCCTGATGACCAGAGTTGTTCCCCTCCCCTCTCTCTCTCTCACACACACACATACACACCTACCATTCTAAGTCCATGTCTGAGATCCATCTAACAAAAATTAATAGAAGAAAATATACTAATTATTTTAAATAAATCTTATCTGGCCCAACAGTCTTTATAGGAAAATAACAACCCAAAGAACGTGTGTGTGTGTGTGTGTGTGTGTGTGTGTGTGTGTGTGTGAGAGAGAGAGAGAGAGAGAGAGAGACAGAGAGAGAGAGGAAGAGAGAGAGAGAGAGAGAGAGAGGAAGAGAGAGAGAGAGAGAGAGAGAGAGAATGCATGCATGTACTCATGTGTGTAGTAACACAAGCTCGTGCATATGCACACAGATACCAGAGGTCGACGGCAGGTATTGTCCTCTATTATATCCACCCTATCATCATTATTAACAATATTTAGTTTGTGTATGCACCTGTATACATGCATGCCCCTTTGCACATGTGGAAGTCAGAGGACAACGTGAGGGAATCAGTTTCCTCCTCCCATCATGTGAGTTCCAGGGATCAAACTCAGGTCTTCAGACTCGACAGAGAGCAACCTGCCTGCTGAGCCACCTCACCAGCCCTCCACCACGATTTTGGAGACAGCGTCTCTCACCGAGTCTGGAGCTCGTCGTTTTGGTTAGACAACAACCTCCCCAGGATCCATTCGTCTCCACTGCCCAGTCCTGGGGTTACAGATCTGTAACCAGCTTTTTTGTGAGCACTTTTTTGTGAGGATCAGAACTTGGGTCCTCACGTGTATACAGCGCTTTACCCACTGAGCCGTCTCCCCCACTCAAGACATGGGTGTGTTTTGGAGTGTGTTTTGTGGACAGCAGAGAGTGACAGAGAACGTGGCAGTGTGAAAGTTCTGAGCTATAATGACAATTAATAGAGATGGGACTTAACAAGGCCTCTTTGCTCCAGTTCTACAACTGTCCTAAGTCTCTGGAGATGCGGATGCTGCCCGGTTATGCTTGGGAATGAGAGACCACTTCTCCCATTGGGTCTTAGATGCTGTTTCTGAGGTAGGTCAGAAAAGGATTCATTTGACCTGCCTCTCAGAAGATAGGTCAGGGGTCTCAGGGTGGCCTCCTCACTTCCTCTGTTCAGAAACACAACTTTAGCCATTTAATCATATTGGAAGACTGCAATCCATCCAACTCTGGGAAATGCTGGCTTACTTTTCACTATGAAGATCTGACCTCTTGCCTATGCATGCTTCTTATCGAAACTGATACCTACACTTCTTCATGATAACCATGGTGACTGCAGCAGATATGAGAGCCAAAAGAATCCAAGGAAGCATTTCCTATCAAATTTAAATACTCAAGGCATTTCATGTAAGTACTTTTTATTTCAGTATCCTTGAACTTTTTTTGAAAAAAAAAATGGTCTTATGCCAAAAGGAGGCAACATTTATAAATGCAAATGTATGAACAAATACACAGGTGCTCTTAGGTGGTTTACCCAATAGAAACTGTCCATCTGTGTAGGAGAAAACCATCCTGCGCCTGAAACATGACCCAGTGAGAGGACTTTCATGCTTGGTCATTCTTGGTTCCTCAAGATAAAGTCCCCAGGCCCACACTGAGCCCTCAGCCCCACACGGAGCAGGTAGTGATGGCTGGAAGCGGTCAGCACCCGCTTGCTCTCCCATGAGCTCCACCAGCTTGTTTCTTTGGCTCACGGCAGCTCTTATGCACTCCCGTCTCCTTGGTCTCCTGGGTCAGATAGACGCTCTCCAGTTCTCAGCAGCCAGGGTCTCTTCGCTGCCATTCACCTATCAGTACTTTCTCAGCTGGACCCAAACTCTTCAAAGTCTTTGGTCCAGATTGTCCAAGGATAGCCTGAAAGTTTTTACAAATGCAAACAAATATTATTCACCGCAAGAGTTTCTTAAGTACTGTCTAAAACTAGAATTGGTAGAGAGCAATTTTAAATCATTCACTTCAAACATCGTATCCTATACTATGAAATACCTTCTTTCCGTCACTGGCTAGGGGCTCCATCCACGACTGTGTTATACAATGACGCTCCTACTGTATCCCTAAAAGGACAGCATTGGAGTGATGAGAACCTTGCAAGCATAGGACAGAGGAAGCCTAGAGATGCCTCTTGCCTCTGCGACCACAGGAGTTTTACCATCCTCTCAATGGAAACACGGGAGTTGGTGCAGGTCTCTCTCTGTTAAAACAGCCCACGGTAATGGTAGGACCGCAGTGGAATGATTTTTCTACTCCATATGTTCATTTAGGGTCTAGAAAAGCTAGGCATCCTGCCCTGACTGGCGGCTCTATCGTCAGCTCTTCTAGGCCCTGTCTTACCTTACGTTCGTCACTGGGACTGCAGTTTCACTACCCTGATTTCCCCGCTAACTGCCACATTACTTTGGCCAAGGAGTAGAGTTCTTGACACAAAGTTCCTATTTGAGGCAAATAACCAAAGGGCAGAATTTTTATCTGTGAGCTTGAACAGTCCCCGCATGCGGACCGGCGTGGGAGGAAACAGACATAGGGCTCAGGAAGACTTTCTTGGCACTCTCATTAATCAAACCTAGGAATTTCTAGCCAACGGCAGACCCTGACCACACGAAGTCCTGCCAGACTTCCTTCTTGAACACAAACATACCCACACCACTAGGTTTCCACTTTGCATATTGGCCGTTTGGGCTGGATCTTTAATTACCTCTCCAGATCAGCTCTCCCCTTCCTTCTACCCACTTGGTGCCCCGCCAAAAGGCTGCACAAGCCACCTCAGCTTGGCTTAGTCTGTCTATCCTTGCTAGCCTTGGCCAGTGGAGAACACCAGCACAGCTGAGCAAAGGAAGGGCAGGGTTTGTTTGGTTGGTTGGTTGGTTGGTTGTTGTTATTTTGTTTGGCTTGGTTTTTCCTCTCTCTCTTCAGGGCAACCAAAGCTATGATATCCTTTGTTTGAGGTCAAGCCCCTTATCAGACAACTCTTCTTAAACAAACAGAAAGCCTCTCTCTCTTTCTCTCTCTCTCTCTCTCTCTCTCTCCCCCCCCCACAGAGTTTTCACATCTTGTCTTAATAGACTATTAAATTTTGACTTATTCAATCTGAATGAAACACTAGTTTTCTGCTAGAGCCTGAACCAATAGCCTCTCAAGTACTATGAAGTCTTAGGGACAAGACGGGCCATGATGAAGCACAATGGGAGGGTACCCAGAGATGCCGCTCCCCCCCCACTTTCAGTTACCATCGTACGTGACCTTATGTCATTGCAGTCACTTAATACACATTTGCTGAATGAATGAAAGCATCTCAAAGCCACTTCTGAGCACAGTTTTAGATTAGAATATATTAAATCAAGGCACATTCCTCTAGGGTATCAGATGCCAAAGGTAAAGTTTTGTTTCAGTGACTGGATAGATGGGTTGGACTGAGCAAATCTCATGACCCCTTTTCTCATGCTCTGGCTGATTTACCGCTCGACTCCAGGACAAGCGATGCCAAGGGACACGCTGACATTTCAGGGACAGTTGCACAGACCGAGAGATTAGTCTAATAGACCGAGAGATTAGTTTGCTGATCCTTCCTAAATCTTGGAGAAAATGGGCACTTTAGCTCACGTCACCGAATTCCAGTGGGCTGGCTTCACAAGTTTATTACTTCTATCCTCCGCCCAGACAGAAATGCTGATGAGGGGCAAGCAGAGTTCCCTGAAGCCATTCATGTTTATAATGCCCAGGTCAAAGCATCAATAAGGTTAAGCATCACTCACCCTGTATATTGATCTTGCTGGTACACTGCAGAAGTGACTTCGAGTTCTGGTATTGGGGGTAGCACCTCCATGATCCGCACTGAGGGCAGCCCTCCCGTGGACTCTAAGTCCAAGACAAAGAGTGGTGTCAGTCAATAGCAAGCCAAAAGGAACTTGTAATATGGATGTTTTGGAAGAGAACCCTGCTCTCCTTTTAAAAAGGATTTGGGCAGTTTCTGTCGCTCACTCAGTTCCTTTCAGATGGTTCTAATACTTTAAACTCACATCACTCAGGTTCAGGTATGTGCCCTCATTTCCTTCTTCAGCTCCCCACCCCATTTCCTGAGAATGCAATCTGAGGCAGGCTAAAATCACGATTAAAATTACCATTTATTCCACATTGAATCTTCTAAAGGGTAAAAAGACCAAACATCCCCAACCAAGAGAGTCAGATGAGATCTGAAACAGTCTCTACCTGGGCCCAGAGCTCCCCACTCCCTGTTGTCTCCTTGCTGAACCCTCGCATCTGAGGCCTGAGCATCCTTCGATTTTATTTCACAGACAGTAAATACTAACTACTTCCAGGGTACCACTCCTATTAGCCCAGCCTTGCCTCAAAGTTCCTAGAAGCCGTGATTAGCATCTTGTACTGGGTGAAGAGGACGCTGTTTTACAGATGTAATCAGCATCCCAAACTGCTTGGTTTTGAGCTGACAGAAAGGGAGATTATCTTGACTGAGTCTGAACATGATTCGTAATAAAGCTCTCCAAAGAGAGACCAGGTCTTCTCTGATCAAGACCCCAAGGTCAGGAAGATTCTAGATGGATTAGAGAAGCAAACAGTCGTAGAGAACTGTAGGTGACATGAAGGGACTGTGGTACACATCCAGTAAGAAGCCAAAGTCCTCAGATCCCTACCACAAGGAAGTGCCTTCTGCCGGACTTGAACCTGAAGCAGAGCCTCTGGGTGAGGCTGCAGCATGACTGGTCTCTTGATTGCAGTTTTGGAAGTCTCTGAGCTGAGCATGCTCAGATAAGGAGTGACCAACTCCCAACCCGCAGAAGCAGAAATAACACAATGCATTTGTCGCATTAAGGAACTAAGTTTGTGGTAACTGATTACACGGTGGAAACGAATATAATGACCGACAAAGTCTCGGCCTAAGCGTCACCAGAGGCGATGATTAAAAATGCAGGTTCCTGGGCTCTGTCCCCAGATCTATTGGATTTGAATGCCCCTTCCTAGAAGCCTGGGAGTCTGAATGCTCTAGACTTCCAAAGTGACTTGGGTCCCCATGAAAGCTTTGGGAATAAATTTTCTGCTCAAATAATTGCTTAGATGTGCCTCGACAAGATGTCTTGGGCCTTCTGTAATTTGAGATTTGGAGACTGCTCTTCTTAAAGGTCATATCAAAGGAGTCTATTCATAAAATGAAATAATTATCATGCAGAATTAATAAGGTTCTTCTGGCTGGAGAGCCAGCTGCTCATTGTCTGCTTGTGGATTCAGTGTGTGGATGTTTTATAGCACGATATGACCATCATGTCATAAGGAAAGCTATTACCTGTCAAAATGATGGCTAGTCGGGAATATCCTCCCTCTAGTGGTCTGTTATCTTCGGCGTCTCCTAGCATCCAAAATCATACAACTCATATGCTAATAGCAAAACTTCTAAAAACTGATTTTAAAAAACATCCAAAGTCAGATAGATGTGTGTCATTTTAATTCCTTCTTCAGAGTAGCTAAGACAGGTGAAACTTTTCCTCTCACATTGCCCTGGAAAATAGTTTCCTTCAAACCCTATTAATTCACCAACTCTAGTTAAGGCAACACAAGCTGTCAGAACTATTTTTAAATGTCATAAATGTCTTTTCAAGAATTTGTCAGTTCTCTCTTTCAAATACTTGATGCTTTTCAGAAACCTCCAAAGATCTTTAACGTTTTTCAAAGAACCCCAGTGTGGTTTTCAGCCTGACTGAGTCTCAGAAACAATGCATTTCCACAGTAGAAGAAAGGTCTTATCACACTTCCTGTGACGATGTCCAGGTTGCCCTGCAATGCATTGCTTAACCCCCCCCACACACACACACACAAAAGGTTTCTACCACTACTCAGAGGCCTTTTACATCTGGGACATGTGGGATCTAGCCTCATTTCATCCTCCCCATGTAATACTGTATTCCCTCTGTGTAACCTGCAGGGTGTTCTCACAATGCTTTGTTCCGGGTGGGTTTCCGGTCTGTCTCCCAGTGGAGAACATATCTCAGCCTTCTTCTCTTGGTTGGGAAGCCTGTTTTTCCCATAAAATTTTTCATGTGCTTGTCTTCAAACTACTTGTTCAGTTACATTTTACTTTTTATGTATGTGAAAGGAGTGTGGGGGCAGGTGCTGATGTGTGTGCACAAGTAAACGTGTGTGTGCATTTTGAGGTCCGACACATCCTTCCTCCTCAGGTCCTGTGCATCTCATGTTGATGTTTTATTTTGAAATGGGGTCTCTCACTGGCATGAGCCTCACCCAAGTAGCCTGACCAGTGAGCCCGAGGGATCTGCCTGTCTCTGTCCCCACAGCCAACTTTTTCTATAGGTCCTGGCTGTTCTTGAATTCAGGTCCCTCCTTCTTGCAAATGTTTTGATAACTGGCTTACTTATTTTTTGTGATTATTTATTTGTCTTGGAACGTGTCGGTTAAGCCCAGATCATAAGGCAAAGTCAGGTTTGGAATGGGGATGTATGTGGTGGGTATCAAGGGAGGACAGAGGATCCAGGCAAGGACCATCCGGGCAAAGATGGAGGACTTGTTCAAATCATATGTTCTGCAATCTGTTCTTCCAGAGCTGGTATAAATGACTGTCACATAAAGGCATCCAGTGAACGCCTATAATAAATCATTCTATTCCAGCTGTGGACTCTTCCGGCAAAGAAAGCCAATCCTTTGCATTTTGATCTAGTCTGTAACCAAGCAGATGGCTATACCCTCTCTGCGTTATGAACCCAACTGGCATTTTAAGAGTCATCAATATTATGGGTAAAGCAAGTAAAAATTAAACTTTCATGTTATCTTGCTTAGTTGCAAAACATCTGGCACCAGCCATTCATCTTCTCTTCTGCAGGAAATTGAAACCTGCACAGTCTTTATTACCCTGGCCATAAACAGGCTGGGAATTATAACTTTCCATTGCCATTCGTTTTATTCGGGGGTGCTATGAATCGGGTTATCCCCTTATAACTTCTTTCACCATCAAAGTCCATTCTCTCTTCTCTGGGTTACCTTCGAGTAAAGGAACCGCTCTTAAGCAAGGCAGAAACGTCTCTCGTGAGGACTCGCCTTGTCACGTAAGCCGCTACAGCTTTCTAGAGGGAACGTGTTTCCTCTCCATTTCCAGGGTTAAATGTATAAAGCAAGAAGAGCTTTGGTGTGAACCAGCCTGATCCCCAGGTCTCTGCTCCCGTTGAATATTGTGCTACAGAATGCCTTGTGTGGAAAGAACCGATTAAATCCTGGCTCTGCTAGGCACTACCTACAAACCAGTGACTTCAATCAATTGCCTGTCCTAAAATTCCGTCACCTTTGCTCCTTGCACATTTAGCTGCTTTAGCCGATAAACCAGCAAGTTAAACTCTCTGGGATTCAATTTTCCCATTAGAAGGGTGAAACGCTTATGAAATTAAGTAAACTGATTTGTATGACATTACAGCACAGATACGGGACTGGACATGACAAGGGTCTCTCTTGTCCAATGGCAGCCTGGAGTGGACGCTAACTGTGTTGGGAGCCCCGTGGAGGAAGAACTGTGTCTAGAGAGCCAGCCTGTGCTATGATGGTTGGCAGGCGGTCAGTGTTCAACAAAACTTCGTTAGAGAATTAAAGGAGCCGCACTTTGAGTTTTGACAATTTCACCATTTGAGGCAAGATATGGAATGACCCTGTCTCCCCATCAGGCAGCCAGAGTGAGCGGAAGCAATGATTCCAGAAACCTGATGTAGATATTTCATAATGGCTGCCTGGAAAATAGGTGGCCATCTCACGGTCATCTCAAGAGCACAGAAGGCAACGGCTGGAGAGAGAGATGACTCCGTAATTAAGGTCCTTGCGGTTTTTGCAGATGACCTGGGTTCGAATCCCAGCTCTTACATTAGATAACTCATGACCACCTTTAACTCCAGTTTCAGGGGGATCTGATGCCCCCTCCCTGCCTCCACGGTACTGCATGAACTTACTGCACACAGAAAAGTAGGCACACACACATAAATAAAAATAAATTTTAAAAACATTTTTTTCTTTTGGTTTTTTTGAGACATAGTTTCTCAGTAGCTAAGGAGTCAGTCCTGGAACTCGCTCTGTAAACCAGACCGGCCTTGAACAAATGTACTCTGCCTCTGCCTTCTGAGTGCTGGGATTAAAGGTGTGTACCACCACTCCCTGGCTAAAAAATCTCTTTAAAAAGAATTCAGAAATCCAAAGAACTCCCCAGATGCTCCTCCTTGGGTGTGTGATCCAGGGAGAGACACCATCTGGTCAATTGGCACGCCCAACAGTTATGCTATCTGGAAGTACTTTCTTGTCCTCTAGGTTTCCCGCCTGACCGTGACTCGGGCTGTATTGTTTGCCTTCTTAGCCTCCTAAACACTTGTTTGTCTTCTCATATCAGGTTTCTTAATGTTCCTAAGGCTTCTACAGGCAACTCACAGCGTTTGCATCCCATTCTTTACGTCCTAGACCACTTCCTACGGCCTTGTTCTTGTTTTCTCTAAAGAGCCAATCCAACAACAATTGCTTTTAGAGGACTTTGTTTTTAATGATGTTGTTATTTTTTTCGTATTGCCAGATATTGAATCTAGGATCTTTCTCACGCTAGGCAAAAACTGTAGCCCTTAGGGATATATTTTAAGGTATATTAGCTAACATGGTGGTTTAAATGAAAATATCTCCCATAGAACATATTTCAATGTTTGGTCCCTAGCTGATAGTGCTCTCTGAGGGATATTTAGGCAGTATGGCCTTGTTGGAGGAAGTGTATTCTCAGAGGCCGGCTTTGAGAATCTAAAATCTTGCTCCATTCCCAGTGTGTTCTTTCTGATTCACACTTTGGGTTTGAAGACGTGAGCTCTCAACTTCCTGCTTCTGCTTCCGTGCCTGCTGTGCCTCCCTGACAGGATGGACGCTCATCCCTCTGACACCATAAGCAGAAATCAGTTCTGCCTTTGGTTAAGTTGTTTCTGGTCCTGCTTACCACACCAACAAAACGTTACCGGTGTTTCTCAAGCTGCCTTCCTCAAGTGTTGGAGGGGTAGCCTGCAAGTTAACAGTGCTCACTGCTCTTCCAAAGGTCCTGGGTTTGGGGCCCAGAATCCATACCAGGCAGTTTCCAACCACCTGTAATTCTAGCTCTTGGTGATCCAATACCCTTGTCTGGACTCTGTAGGCAAACATGCATTCATGTGTGTGTGTGTACACACCCACACATAAAAAATAAAATCCCTTTTAAAATGCCTTTCTTAAAATGGTCATTGTTTCCCATTGCTCTTTGATATCCTTAGCAATTCTACAAAATTCACTGCCCAAGGTTCCTACGAAGGAGAATGACGTTCTTTCTGATTATTCCTGCTCTGTGTGTCCATGTTTGTGTTCACCTTTCCCATCCTTAAGACTCATTTTTTTTCTAATTTTTAAATTTATTTCTGATATTTTTTGAGACAGGGTCTTAGTGTGTAGCCCTGACTGTCCTGGAACTCATTATGCAGACCAGGCTGGCCTTGAACTCACAGACACCAGCCTATCTCTGCCTCCCTCCCGTGTGCTGAGATCAAAGGTGTGTGCCAGGACATCACCTCCCCTTTTCTATACCCATTTCTCCCTAGGGTTGTGCTGTCTCATAAACTCTTATCATGAATGAATAGGATCTCAAAGGCTATGCTACCATGAAGGATACAGGACAGGTAAAGTGAAGTCATCACCCATGTGACGAATGAATAAAATGTTAAGGAAATTAATACCAAGACAGACAGCATGGACCATCACATTTCTCGGGGACGGAGGAGAGCATCAGAGGCCCACTTGCTCCATGGGGCTCTAATAGTGGCAGTGGCAGGCTCTGAGCAGGAAGGGTCCTGCTGAGTCCTCCTGGCTTGTTTTTTAGAGGATGATGATTTGGGGATGGACGAGCCTCTCTACATCCCAGTGTGTGTACCTGGTGTACCTGTGTGGCAACACTACATTTGTAGATCATGAACCACAGGGCCATTCTGGAGCGAGTGCCTAGCACTGACACCAGGCTCAGCTGAATGCCACACACAGGCGTCGCTTTTTTGAATTCCGCTTCTTTTCTTCATGGTACCGCGTTTCTGGAGACTTACATGAGCACATTTTCCCTTACCGCTCGCTGCTGCCTGTAATCCATCATGACAAAGAGCAGCCTTAAAGACAGCTCAGGGGAGACATGATTTCCTTTCCACTTCTCACTTGGAAATAGTGACTTAGAATGGAGAAGGGGGTGCTTTCAGGGTAAAGGATGATAATTGAGAAGGACCTCCCCCTTTTCCTTTCGAAGATGCTAAGCCTCAAAAAGATATTTGGCCTTAAAAAAAGAAAGTCACCCTCCCTCCCGTGTCTGCCCTGAACATACCTACAATATGCCTGGTACTAAAACCAGAGGATTTTTAGTGAGAGCCGTTACAGAGAAGGCAGCCCCAAGACAGCTTCTTCGGGGCCAGGAAAACCTCAGACTCATAAATATAACTTGTGAGGTTCATCCCGTGGCTAGCCAGGCCTTAAAATTTGTGACTCCTACAATTATCTGAGGTGACAGGGGAAGAATTGACTTGTTCTCAGACAAGACTGCTGTGCTCAGAATTATGGCTAGGAAACAGAAATGGCCAGGCTTCCTCCGGCGATCACAAAACTCAGCAGAGGTGGGCTGAACCGTTCCTGGGGTACGGGCAGGTACACTAGACAAGAGAGACGAACAGACAAGAGAAGGATCGCCATCTTCTTCCTTTAAAAAATGATTTCTCACCCTATAACAACTCCAGGGACTTTTATATCATTAATTAACCAAAATTTTTGTGAACCACACAAAATTCCCATTATCTTGACTCCTAGACAGCTGATATTAAGAATTGTCTAGCTGATGCTTACTACGAACCCTGGCTTAATAATTTTCCGTTGCCAGATTATGTTGGTTGAGATCTTGCGATGCATCCAGGCTAATCTGTTCCCAGGCTAAGAGTCTATCTGACTACCTGTTTCCGTAGTTAACAAAAGCCATGGGCACAGAGTCCCCGGTGAAATGCTGGGCGGGTCTCTAGGTGGCTGCCATTGTCCTGCAGTGGAAGGCAGGAAATTATCTAGCTTCCTCTCGTGTTTGAAAAGAGTTTACACACCAGATCTGAAGCTTCCTTTCCTGCAAGCTTCTCAAGTAGTGCGAGGCGCTGCTCACCCACTGGAGACAAAGACTATAAACAATATCAAAAAGACGTCAAAAACATCCTCTGTCGCCTGACAAATGAGCGTAATCCTACGGGGCGGGGTGGGAGACTGAGACAGAACTATCAACTTGAGGCCAGCCTGGGCTACATAGTAAGCCCTTGTCTGACAGAGAAAGAGAGAGAATAGCCAGGAACTGTCACACAGACCGGAAAAGATTAAAATGAAATCTAAACACAAGCCAGGCCTTGTGATACAGGCCTATAATACAGAAGTGGGAGGGAGGGTCACAAATCTGAGCCAATTCAAGGCCAGCCTGGGCAATTTAGTGGGCTCCTACCTCAAAATTAAAGGGGGGGGCTGGCAGAGCATAGCTCAGTGGTGTAGAGTGTTTACCTAGCATGCCCGAGGCCCTTCCTAGGTGGAATTTCCAGTTTTTTTAAAAATCTTTTCTCTTTGGTGAAGGAAAAGGGGAACCTTTACCCGTCCACGTCATCGGCTTCCTTTTTAATGTGGTTTGACAGCAGGAATTCTAAAGGAGGCCTCGCAATTAGAAAGATGAAGTTGGAACCGGCATCTGTGTTCACAGCCCTCTTAGCTGCTCTAATTAGGATCCCCTTCCTCCCTCTCTGCTTCTCGGGCGAGCGAGGACAGGGCCCTTTTTAATTGAGGCTATTAGAAGTTCTCTTTACACAACGACACCCCGTGAAGTGAAGGCTCCAGCAGAAGCTCTGCCCACTCTACAATTACCTCTTGCAACTCTGAGAAATAATGGTATCTTGTCTCGTTTAAAAATAAATCCCCGGCTCGTTCCCCACGGCGTTCTCTTCCTTGCCTACACACGCGAGCTTCTTCTTGCCAATTAGGTAAACTTTCCGTTATTTAAGGAGGTGGCTTTGATCATAACTGTCCCCTGATAATGAGATGTACTGAGCTGGATTACAGTCGCCCACAGTTCTTTTATTCTAAACCCAAGGCTACTTAAAATGAACTCGGGTCTGGAGTTTGCTGTGTACGGAGAGGGCGCCGCTTTGGCATTTCCCGTCCTGCGCTGCTTGGTACTGCAGAACTCACCTGGAATAGCCGTCACACTCAAGACACTCAGCTTCACAGAGCCACTTCCTCTTAAGAGAACGGATGCAGATTTGGGTTTACGACCTATTCCAAGAAAAGAAATTAAAGAGTTCGATACCAAACGAGCACATTCTGCCACACGTGGTGGTGGTTTGGGCCTCTAAGGGCAACGCCTGGCGAATGAGGCAGAAGGATCCTGAGTTTGAAGGTAGCCTGGACTACACAGTGGCCCTTGTGCCCTTCAAAAATCACATTTTCACTGTGCTCCCTGTGATAGCTTAGATTGTCAAGGAGACAGGATCGTCCACAAGGGGATCTGGAGCAACAAGGCAGCAGGAGATTTTATCCTTAAGTTCTTTCACTAACCAACACAGGGGCATGTGGGCACAAGCCTTTAACCCCGGCACTCTGAAGGCAGAAGCAGATATAACTACGTGAGTTCAAGGCCAGCCTTGTCTATACAGTGAGTTCTAGGCCAACCGGAGTCACACAGTCAATCCCTATCTCCAAACAAACACAAACAAACAAACAGACAAAAAACCACACCCTAATAACAACAACAAAATCAATCTCTTTCTAAAAGTAGTGGTTTCTCACCATAGAAACTGTTAGGTCTATCTATTCTTGAAAAGGCACCAGCCAGTATTTGCAAAATACTATTTTTATCTATATGGATATGATATGCAGAATATTTAAGAAGTATTGCAGATTAATTATATCTAGTAAGTAGCATGAGTATTGTGATATTTTTCATTGCTTTATATAGTTAGATTTGCGAGGAAAACACTTTGAGAGCCATTGAATTTGTATTCTGGGTAGACGTTTGAAAGAATTTAACGTACTTCCCACTGTGGCCCGTGTCTTTCTAGGCATTTTCCTACCTCGTATCTTTCTTTCCTAGTCTGCATTCATACATGAGAAACGGTTCAAGAAATGTAGAACTCTGAATTATTTTCAACTACCACACATTGCCTAGAAGATACCAAGTTTTACTCTGACATCTTATTAATTGTGTAGATTTGTACAAAACTGCTAACTTACCTGAGTTTGGGAGTTCCCCCCCCCTTTTTTCTGCAAAAAGCAAAAGTAATAAATACTGTTTCCATACTGCTCTGGTTTCATCCAGTGGCCGTGATAAATACCAAGACAAAAAGAGGAAAGGTCTTATTTGTCTTCTACTTCTGGGTCACAGTCAGGCACTGATGGGAGTCAAGGCAGTCCCGCCGACTGTTCTGCATGGTACAACCTCCCACCAGGGACCTCAGCTCACAGCCAGAAAGTAGGGCAGCAACCAGGGAGGCTGCTGCTTGTTAGCTGGTGTGCGGTCTGGCTTGTACTCAGCTAACTTTCTTGTCCAGTTCAGGACCACCTGCTTAGGGATGGTGCCTGCACCGATTAGGAATCGATTAGGAATCGATTAGGAGTGACGGGCTACGTTCCGCCCAGATCCTGGCTAGTTTACCCTCGAAATAATTACACGGAAACTGTATTCTTTTAAACACTGCTTGGCCCATTAGTTTTAGCCTCTTATTGGCTAATTCTCACATCTTGCTTTAACCCATATTTAGTAATCTGTGTAGCATCACAAGGTGGTGGCTTACCGGGAAAGATCCTAACCTGCGTCTGTCTTGGAGAGGAGAGTCATGGTGACTGCCTCACTGCCTTCTTTCTTTCAGCATTTTGTTTTGTTTACTCCGCCTACCTAATTTTCTGTCCTATCAAAGGGCCGAGGCAGTTTCTTTATTAACCAATGAAAGTAACACACAGACAGATAACCCTCCTCCATCACATGACAACCCCACCACCACACAGACATGACCAAAGGTCAATCTGATCTGGGCAGTGCATCCCCTGAGACTCCCTGCTGAGGTTATTCTAGGCTGTGTCAAGTTGACAGTTAAGGCCATTCAGGACACATGCTTTGATCACCCAGTGGAAACTGTCGTTCTACAAAGACACAACACAGTCATGTCATTAACCATGACACGGCAGACCTTTATTACTAAGGGATCAGAGATGAGACTTGTTCTGCAACGACTCTCAAAAAAAAATTCCTGCAACAAAGAATTAATTCAAAGAATCAACAGCACCCTTGCTGCAGGTGAACATTATTTATTAAACAACCTTGTCTGTCAAAGACCATAAGAGCCTAAGAAGTGAACTCACTCAGCCATACAACAGGCCTTCATTGGGAACCAGGTGGTCATGCACACCTTTAATCCCAGCACTTGGGAGGCAGAGACAGGTGGATCTCTGTGAGTTTGACAACAGCCTGGTCTACACAGCGAGTTCCAAGACAGTTAAGGCTATTGCACAGGTAAATCCATTGCAAAACAAACAAACAAACAAAAACAGAAACCAGAGAGAGAGAGAGAGAGAGAGAGAGAGAGAGAGAGAGAGAGAAAGAACCAGCTATATCCTGATAGTGTTCAATTCATTGGGTGATCTCTTTATTTCAGCCTCTACCCCAGCTCCATGTGCAGAGGCAAGTACCCTGCAGGACAGCTGAGGAAAACCATGTTTAGCAATGGTAACTCACTCAAAGCTATAGGAGGTAACACAAGGATCTGATGTCTTCGGAGCATGTTATCATGGGCGATGCTTTTTATACGGTCTTTAAGAGATCACCTAATTACCGAAGAACTGTCAGTCGAGTCTGATATGTAGCCAGTATATGCACGTGCAGTCTTACAATCCATCCTGCTAGGTGAGTGCCCAGGTCATGCTAATTACCAAAGCTGTTAGACACTGCTCCTACTGTTCTGACTTAAGAAGCCCTTCTAGGTCTGCCCCACCCAAACTCCGTCGACACCCCCTACGCTTATTAAAGATTTTTTTACTCTCATATTGTCGCCTAGAGACCGCTCTGCTCTGGGTCTCTAGCTCCGCAAGTGTCACCACACCTTCTGCTCTCACTTCCACTAAACCCTCCCAGCCGCCATCGGGACAACTCCTCCTTTTCACCCTGCCTTTCTTCCTGACCGTTTGCCAGTCCGTGGAGGAGAATGGCCCATGAATGGTACTGCTGTCTTTCCATTTAGAGTCTCTAGAACCAGCATTTACACACAGGAGGAACACAGTAAGCGGCCAACCGAACTAAAAAGAAAATCTGGGGCGAACAGGTGTTTGCACATGTTTCCCTGGGGAAAGCCATATGGCCAGGGGTTACTTCCCAGTACTTACTCTGCCACCTCTGCACTCTCCTGTGGCCCTCAAGGATTTTGTAGATGATGAGGATGATGCCGACCATAAAAACTAATAGCACTAAAATGTACCAAGTGATCTTCACGGAACAAGTGACAGCTGTAAAAATTAAAAAAAAAAAAATTAGACACTCTAAAAAAAAACCAGCAAAGGTGGCCGGCATAGGTACTCGCCAACCCTCTGAGGTCTGCCCAGAAAACTCACACAGAGGGAGGACAGAACCAACTCCTGCGAGTTGTCCTTTGGCCTGTGCTCATGTGTCATGGCAGACGTGCACACACAAATAAATATACATAAAATAAAAAAGATTCAACACAATGAGACAGAGCGTGAGATAAGAGGCAAAGTGGAGGCGTAGGCCTTTAGCAGAAAAGCTATTTGCTGCCTTCACTTAGCAGGGACCCTTGCTCTCCTGAACACTTTTCCAATATATTAAATGAAGCTACTAAATGAGGAAATTGGCCAAGTGGCTCCCAGGGATCCATTTAATTCAAAATCCTGGCATCTAATTTCACTTCCAGGTGATGCCAATATCAATTTCCTCATTGTTCGTCAAGAGGAAAGCAGCCTTATATCGGGGTTGTGTGCAATAAATCATCTTGGTCATGGGCCACGCAGCCCCAAATATGCCCTCAAATTAACAAAGGCGCAGTAAGAGCAAAGGGCATGGGACAGTAACGGAAGGCAGAGGCAGAGGACTGGGCTGAGCTGATGAGCAGCTGGGGATGAGTGATTAGACCCCGTTTCTGCCAGTGTTACAGCTTGGATGGAAAATGTCACCGGAGACTCCTGCAACTGAACACTTGGTGAACAGTTGACTATATCATTTGAGGAGGCGACTCCATGTATGACAGGTATAATTTAAAACTATTAATTACCTTTAAAATGATTAAGTGTTAGTAAAAACATTCTAAACTGATGGAGAAAGTGTCTATCTTTCTAGAGTACCAAAATGCCTAGCAAACAGTTCTGTCATCGCGTCTGCAGCTCCGGGGGTAGGGGAGCATTTGTTTCTGTGTGATTCTTTTCTCTGGTTTTATGTTCATCTGACTCCCGGCCCCCATTGGGGCATGGTGCCAGGCATGGTGCTTGACACACAGAAGGTACTCACTAAATGAATATATTATAAAATGCTTTCTAATAATACATTTTATGGGTGAGGTGGGGGCACACTGCTTGGCAGAAAATATTAACTATGGGATTCAGGACAGGGTGCAAGGAACTTAATCAGCCTTGAAGAGAATTTAAATGTCTGAGCCTCTTTCCCCCTCAGAATCAGCCAGTCATCTGCATGCGTGCGCGCGCACACACACACACACACACACACACACACACACACACACACACCAGAGCCTAATCTTTAAGAGAACTCCCCCGTCTGAGTACTGAGGAGAGGTGACTTTCCATTAAGCACAGAAACCAGACAGGCTGCAGTTACCCTAGGGCAGAGGACCTTGGGTAACCCTCAAATCACAAATCCAGACATACCACCCCTGTCTCAGGTTATGGTTGAGTCCCATAAAAACACATCTTAAAAGACAAGTAAGCAGATAAAATGATTAATATTTGGGGGCAGTATTATTTCCATAATGAAATTTTCAGCTATTTGACTTCTGGTGAATTTCATAGCCCCTTCTTAATTTTATGTATGGATACCCAACTTCTCTATTTCTCTCGCCTTTCCTTTCAAACTTACATCTCACATCTATTGCCAGGTGCAAGGAAACATGAGTACAATTGCTCGTGTTCTCCATAATTCCACAAGTGTGGTTTAGAGAATCTCCCTGGGGTGGATCTTCTACACCTGTGGGTTTCCCAGGGTGGGCTTCAGGGGTACAGGTAGTGTTGTATTCCTTCATAGGGTCAACCAGGAGAGCGACGGTGACATTATAGTGCTGGCAGGGTGAGTAAAAGTCATTTGCCTTCACTTCCATGGATCCTGTCGTGAGGAGACCTAGAAAGAGATTAAGAAAGGATGTTTTCAGAGTGGTAGTATTTAATAAGAAGACACAATTCAGAGCTGAGTCTCACTGGGTGTAACGGTGCACACCTGTAACCCGCGGGATGCTGAGGCAAGACTTACAGGTTGGAGGAACATGAATGTCATGTAGTCAGTACCAAGACTCACAGACTCACAGAGTAACACAGCAAGACCCTGTCTCAATATATATATATACCCAAACAAAGTCTTAAATCTCTTTTCTTTAAAACAAAATAGAAAACAAAGTTATGGACCCTACAATTAATTATCAAGGTGATTTTTTTAAAAATATCATGAAAATGATAGGAGTAAGATTAAAATAGGATGAGAACCTCTCAGAGAACACACAGATATTTCCATGAATATCCGTTCCTGATCTGGGACAGATCAAATTTTTCAAAAGCTTCACTGTGTTTTCCACTCCACATTGCCCATGCTTTCTAGAGATGTAACAAAGTACTATAAACTGGGTGGCCTAAAAAACAGAATTTTTTCTCATACTCCTTTTTTGAAAAAAAATTTTTGTGTGCATGGACGTTTTTACCTTTGTGTGTGCATGTGTGTGTGTGGCATGTGCACAGCCAGTACCCATGGGAGCCAGAAGAAGGCATTGAGCCTGAAGTTACAATGGGTTGTGAGCAGCCATGTGGGTGCTGGGAATTGAACCCAGGTTTTCTGGAAGAGCAGTCGGTGCTCTTAACTGCTGAGCCAGCTTTCCAGCCAGTCTCTAGCTCATAGACCTTAGGCTGGAAGTGAAAGATTAAAGTGTGAGGAGTCTTGGGCTCCTTCAGGACTGTGGAGAAGACTGCACTTGTTCCTCTCTCCTGGAGGTTAGCAGCAATCGCTGGCTTTCATTGATTCATGGAAGCACAACCTTGGTCTCTTTCTTCATCCACACGTGGCATTTTTCCCGATGAGTCTGTTTCTCTTTGTCCACATATCTGCATGGTGTGTGCACAAGTAAACTGGTGTGTGTGTGTCCATGAGTGCATGTGTGCATGCCCATGTGGAGGGAGAAGCGAACCATGTTATTCTGCAGAAACTGTGTGCTGTTGAGATGTGGTCTCTCATTGGAACCTGGGGCTTGCTGATTGGCTACACCGGATGGTCATTAAACCCCAGGGATCCTTCTGTCTCCACCTCCCCATGGCAGGGATTGTAGGGGTATGTCACACAGATAACTTTTCTCTCTGGTTCTGAGTATCCAACTCGGGTCTTCACACTTGCCTGGTGAGTACTTAAAGAATCACACTTCTCCTTTGTATAAGGATGTCAGTCATCCTGGACTAGGTCCCAGGCTGATGATCTCATCTTAAAAGCAGACCTAGGATGATCTTATTTCACATAACGTCACAGTCTTATGTGTTGATGATTAAGACTTCACCGCATTAAAATTTGAGAGGACACAATTCAGTTACCCCAAAACTTTACCAACCTCCCAGAAATAGGAGGAGAGAACACCCTCCCCATAATCTTGGAGAGTTAGATAGGCAGCTAAGCCATAAATGAAACACATTGTCTTCTACATCAAAGGTTTAACAGAGCCCTGTCTTTAAAGAACTTTGCAAAGACACCACCCGGCAGAAATCCCTCCCTAGCCAGTAGTATTCTAAGATCAAAGTAAGTACTCAGAGTTCCTCCTGTTCTCAGTTTATCAGATGTATTGCTTACATTAGCCAGAAGTATAAGAATATGAGGCTGAGCTCTGGCCACTCAGAGTGAGGTGCAGGATCCCTTGGAGCTAGAAATAAGAATCCAGTGGGACCCCTGCAGGGCTTGCTTGCTTGGTTAAGGCTGGTATGCCCTCTTCTGCTAAAGCAAGCCTTTCTCTTTCTGCAATACTCTGGATTGTGCGCTCATTTTCTCAAGACCCCAGACCCAATCCTAACATAGTCAAATGTGGAAAAATGACATTACATGATCAGACAGGAAAAGGTGGTGCAATTCCACTTTGTCCTTTGGGACACTAAGATCAGAGTCTGGAGTCGCCAAGAAAAAACCTAATGTATGGTTTGCTCCAAGGAAGTCCTCCATGAATATGGAATGGAAAAACAATATAAGAGAAACCATCAGCAGAATGAGAAGCAGCCCCCAGAATGGGAGAAAATATTCTCAGACTATAACTGAGAAAAGTTAATATCTAGGATATGTAAGGAATTCCTGTCAAGGAAGGAGAAACAAAGAGAACAGACAACCGGTTTTAAAATGGGCAGATGTCAGGTTAAGGGTAGCGCCTGCTGTCTCAGCTATGCGGGAGGCTGAGGCAGGAGGACTTCTGGAGTTCAAGTCCATCTTGAGTAGCACAAGAAAACCGTGTCTCAAAACAAACCTGCGCTAAGAACTGGAACAGATATTTACATCTGTTAAAAGATCTACATCCATAAAAGAGCTACAGAGGATCAATGGTCATATGGTAACACACTCGACCTCACCCATCACCATAGAAATGCAAGACAGCACCACAGTCAGAGACGATCTGACCCCTGTAAGTGACTTCTGTACAAACAATGAGCAGTACTGTTGAAAAGTGTGGGGAATTTGGAATCCTTGTACTGATAGTGGGTAAAACGACCCATTCAGTTTAGGAAATAATAATAAGTTCCTCCAAAAATGAACAATCTAAACACCATTGACTCTAACAGGCACACTTTCTGACACGTATCCAAAAAAGGGACCTCAAAGACATATTTGTATTCCCTCAGTCACAATGACTGAAAGGGAGGTCACCTGAATGCCTACTGAGACAAATGCATAAAGAAAAAGATGGGGCTGGAGAGACGGCTCAGCAGTCAAGAGCACTGACTGCTTTTCCAGAGGACCCAGGTTCAGTTCCTAGCACCCACATGGCAGCTCACAACTGTCTGTAACTCCAGTTCCAGGGGATCCAGTGCCCTCTTCCAGCTTCTGTAAGTACTGCATGCCTGGGATGCACAGATAAAAGCAAAATAATTACACACAAAATAAATAAATAAATAAATAAATAAATAAATAAATAAATAAATCTTTTTTTCTTTTCTTTTCTTTTCTTCTTCTTTTTTTTTTGGCAAAAGATCTTCACTCTTCCTAGGTGTTTATGTGAAGAGAGAGGACCTCAGCTGCCTCCAGCTACCCTGGTTCCTCTGGTTGCTGCACCCACTCACTAACTGCAATAATATGAAACACCCCAAGCCAGAACAGTTCACCTGCACCCATTCCATCCAGAGGAGGTTGAGGAAAGGAGGGCGAGTGGAAGCAGTAGGTAGGGGTGGGGGCAGAACAACAATGAAGAAGAGCAGAGAAGGGGGAGGAAAAAGAGAAGAGAAAGGAAGAGGAGGTTGCTGCATTTCAAGCCACTGTCCGCGGGGTGATTTGTTATGCAGACAGAGTGACTATACCACCCACTGTGGCCTGGGCTTGCAACATGAATTAGTAACTAAGAAAATGTCTCACTGACGTGGCCGCAGGTCAACCCGATCTGGGCAATTATTCAGTTGAGGTTCCCTCTCCCGTGTGACTAGGTTTATATCAAGTTGATAGCTGAAGCTATGATGACATGCAGGGCCCCATGAGGCACTGCAGAGAATACACACACACACACACACACACACACACACATATATATAATCTTTTGTATGTTCCTTCCTTCAATCAACAAATATTTATTAAGTATCTGTTATGATTTATATCAGACATGATGTTGAAGGAAGGGATATGGTAATAAGCAAAGACAAAGACATTGCCCTCCAGAGACCCACTGATGAGCCAGATAAAATGCCAACTCATATTCAGTGGGTGAACGCTTAGGTATTTACTTAGAACTGCTTTTTAAACAATCATTATCTTTGAAAAGAACATCCGGCTAACCTTCTAGCTAACAAGCACATGTGAATTACACTGGCATTCTGATGGATTTCACGAATGAGTACTTTGTCTTCAATAAACTAAACTCAAATTGATCAACATTACAAAGTCCTGTGAAATCTTTCATCAAAAGCCACACCACTGAGAGCTTCAATGCTATTAGAGGTTAAAACGGAATGCTTGTGTGTGTGCGTGAGGGGAGGGGATGGATGTGCACAGTATATTTGGACATGCACAGGCAGATGAAGGTCGGAAGACAAGCTTGGGTGTCATTCCTCGAGGGCCTTTTGCCTTCTGTCTGAGGCAGGGTCTTTTATTGATCTAGACCTTCACCAAGTAGCCTTGGCTGTCTGGCCAGTGAGCTTCCAGACATCTGCTTGTCTCTGCCTCACTTCGTAGTGTCTCTGGGGAGACAAGCAGGCTCACCAGCGTTTTCTTTAATATTTACTGTGCATCTCTGTGTGCATATATAGACATAAGTGCAGTGCCTGCAGAGGCTAGAAGAGTGGATCAGATCCCCTGAGCTAGAGTTCCAGGTAGTTGTGAGATGGTCAGCGTGGATGCTGGTCCTCTGAAAGGCCTCAACTGCGAAGCCATCTCTCCAGACTCTGCGTCTACTTTTTGGTTTGTTTGCTTGTTTGTTTTGTTTGACAGGGTTTCTCTGTCCTGGAACTCACTTGGTAGACCAGGGGGACCTCGAACTCATGGGGATCCACTTGTGTCTGCCTCGGTCTCTAGAGTGCTGGAATGCACCATCACCTAGCCTCGTGCCCACTTTGGGAGGGGGGGCGGGGGTTCTGGTGTTCCAACTCAATTCTTTACATTGTAGGGCAAGAAGTGCTTTAGCTACTGAGTTAGCTCTTCAACCCTAGGGTGCTTTTTTTTTCTTTCCAGAATGACTTAATTTAGACTTGGCAAATGTTACTCAATTCCTTTGTGTTTACCTTTTGATATTTGTTCCTGAGAAATGAAATCCACGTCTCCTTTGGATTCGCAGACCAAACACAAGGAGCACATCGGAAATCCATTCGTGATGCCTTGGCAACTCTCAGTGAAGCTTTGGACACTGGAGTGGTTTGGGAAGAGTCCTATAACAGTCTGTGTTTCCTCTGCCGGGTGCAGAAAAGTCGCCGAAGAAAAATTGAAGGAGGGAAGCAGATAGGTGAGATTGGGTAATGAACACACTTCCCGGCAGGCGAGTGTTCTTTCTACAAAGAAAGAAAAAAAGCTCTCGTTAGCTGTGAATTTCAAGGTTTTGGCATTTAAATAAACACAAAGTAAGCTCGTCGTTGTTCAGGTAGATGTTGGCCTGTCTCTGACAATGTTTTAGTCTCACATGAATTAATATCTACTCCGTTGAAGCATTTTGTTTTTAAACTTGTTAATTTTCAGAGAGCAAACATTCATGTGCAGAAGTGACTAGAAACACAAGCATTTTAGACATCCTCTGTTCTGGAAAATTTTTAAGGATGTGTATGTGTGTTTGTGTGTGTGTGTGTGTGTGTGTGTGGTATGCCCATGGAGGCCAGAAGAACACATAGGAACCCCTGAAACAGTTAGAGAACCCTGGCATGGGCACTAGGACCTGAACTTGGGTCCACTTCAAGAGCAGTAAGCACTTTTAGACGACAACCAATCACTACAGCCACTGGGGGAAAAAAAAACTTAACAGATAAATCTTAAGTCTTTCTGAATCTATCTTTTTTAGATATCTTTTTTTATCTGAAAGATAGCAAAATCTGGACAGTGGTTCTGGGTTTCTGAAGTCTGCTAGAGAGCAGAGTACCACAATCTTGGCCATTGAAAATTGTGGAGGCCTAAAAATGTGAGCCTATTTCCACCTTGACCAAAGGTCAGAGAATTGGAACTTACCTCTAGTCCTTCAAGGTCATTGTGTTTCTACCTCAAACAAAGGTCCCACCTAGATTTAGAGCAGAGAGTTCTGCTCTCAAGGTTATTGTCAACAGGTGTGGCTAATATCCAGACCTTGAATTTCAAGAATAGAGAAGAAGTTTCTACCTCAAACAAAAGTCTAAGAATTCTACTAAGGTTCCAGTTCCCTTAAGGAGATAACACTGGATTCCGTCCAGTGAGTGGTTTGCCTACAGAATGGTTTGGTCTAGATTGTGAGTGTGACTTGTTTTTTCCTAGCGCAACTGTAGACGCGCTACAACCTTCAACTGGTCAGTTCATTTCCTTGTATCATGTTATTGCAGTTCTTTTTTTTTTTTTAATCTTATTCCTACCTCTTAGAGTCAGGGTATTTTAAGCAATTGAAAAGAAAACGTGGGCGATTTCAGTATTCATTAGAACTCCCTCCTGGTACTATTCTATGTTTTCCTGTTTTATCAGTTTTGCATCTTCATACTTTTTACTTATATTCCTAATCCCCATGCCCCTACCCTGGCAAGTGGTATTTTTGTTGAGGCTGGTCCCCAATGAAAAACAAGAAAAACTCTCTCCTGGATTGGGAGGCCAGAAGTTCAGTGTTAAAGTCAATAGTCAGAAATCCTGAAGTCTACCGGCTTTGAAGAATCTAGTTTTCTTCTTGATTCTCTCCTAACTTCCGGTAGTTGCCTGAATGCCTTGGCTTATGGCCCATCACTGTCTCTGTAGTCACAGTGCTTTCTCCTCTGTATCCCTGCCTTCTTCTCTCTTAGCTCTGTCAAAGTTCCCTTTGATGCTTTGTGTCAGTCAGGATTTTCTAGAAAAAACAGAACTGATAGAGTGTCACTGATACATACATACACACATACATATAAACTGATATAATATATATATATACATATAGACAGAACTGACAGAATGGCTATATGTATGTATGTATAGCACACACATATACATATAGGATTTATTAAAGGGGCTCACAAGCTGTGGTCCAGCTAGTCCAACAATGTTTACTATTGGGTCCAAAAATCCAGCAGTTGTTCAGTCCACAAGCTGAATGTCTCAGATGCTCTTCAGTATATGTCAGAATCCCCAAAAAAAGTAGGCTCTAGTGCCCATGAAGGAATATATTTGTCAGTAAGAGTAGAAGCAACAGGCAAAGACAGCAAGCTTCCTTCTTTCGTGTCCTTTATATTGGCTGCCACCAAAGGGTATATCCAGATTTAAGATGGATCTTCCCACCCCAGAAGGTTCAGATTTAGGATGTTTTTTCCCTTAATTTTTTTTCAATCAAGAAAAATCCCTCGTAGGTATACTCAGTGGCTTAGGTTTTTGGTTCACTTGGGTTATAGTCAACTTGACAACTAAGAATAGCCACCACAGCCTATAAATGTCTTCTTAGGACATTTGGGATTAAATATCATGCCACATGCGTGATTCAAGATATCTCATATCAAAGTTGCTAATCACATTTGTAAGCACGCTGTATCCATATAAGGTAGCATTTGCAGGATCTAACGATTAGTACTTGTTGTTTATTATGTGTCCTACCGGAAAGTCTTCAGAACAGCCGATTTTCACCCTTCCTAGTGCTGGGACCCTTTTATAGAGTTCCTCATGTTGTAGTGACCCCAGCCATAAAATTGTTTTCATTGCTACTTCATAACAGTACTTTTGCTACTGTAAGTGAATCATAATGCAAACATCTGTGTTTTCTGATGGTCTTAGGTGACCCTTGTGAAAGGGTCGAGACCCACAGATTGAGAACTGTTGTTTAGACAGTTTTGTGCCCAGCCATGGGTGAGCAGTTCGTCTCTGTCACGTACTTCTGTCAGGACACAGTTTCTCACCACAGTGAATTGTTTCAACGCAGGTCTTTGGGGCTTGAGGAGTGGCTCAGCGGTTAAGAGCTCAATGAAAGAGCTAACTGGCTGCTCTTCCAGAGGACCTGGATTCAATTCCCGGCATCCACGTGGTGACTCGCAACCATCTGGAACTCCAGGGGACCGGACACCTCTTCTGGCCTTGCTGGGTACCAGGCAAGCACATGGTACACATACATACATGAAGGCAAAGCATCCATATACATAAGATAAACTAAAAATTTCAAAATTTTGAATGTAATCCTGTGTTCCAGATTAAAAATTTTGAAATGTGGAGGGGCCCAGCTAATCAGCACCCACATGGAAGCTCCCAGCTGTCTGTAGTTCCAGTTCCAGGGGATCCAACATCCTGACACGGACACACGTGCAGGCGAAGCATCAATGTACACAAAATAAAGGTAAATAAATAAATAAGCTTAAATGCACCCTTTGCCTAGGGTTGGGCTTATCTGCGATTTAATCAATATAAGCAAATTCTAGTTCATGGTGTAACTGAGAATTATCATTTGACAGTGATGGTCAGTTAAGGAACAGGCAGCCTGTCTTCCAGTGGTCCACACACCATCAGCTTATTTTAGCCGTGAAGTAACTGACACGGCCAATCCCACCTTCCTGTGGCGGCTTCACCTTCTCTCTAAAATGTAGTTTAGGATTTCTAGGTGTCACAGAGCACCAGGAAACAACTGCTGCACTTTTTAAAGTGATTGCTTTCAGTTCAGCACCTCAGCCAGACTTACAAGGAAGCCAAACTAGTGACTGATATTAAAGACATTTTTAATTAATGAAGCTTATATTTTAATAGTGATCCCATAAGCATTTGATTGCTAGTGATTTGTAACATGATTTAATGAATTAAATGCTCACATCCTACCCTTCTACAGTTGAAACTCTTTTCCTAAAAATTTACATTTTATGTCCAACTGGGAAGAAATTTCGAAACAGAGTTGTTAATAACCTTTTACTTGGAGGAACCAAATTGTATTTGAATAAATTTTATCGTGTGTAATACACTTATAACAAACATTGTAACGAGTTTGTAACTATAGTATAACATTTCCTTCAACAGCAGTGTCAGCAGAGGAAGACGGAAGCGCACCCACTGATGGAGCGCTCTCATTTACAGTTTTCTCAATGTCACTAAAACACATGAAAAACATATTTCCTGCCACCTTTCCTTCGTGCCCCCTGGCACTTTGATCTTGCGAAGTTTTCAGCGTCTTGAATTTATACTGCTGTGACCCGACCTGGAAAGGAGAGTGAGAGGTCTGTTGCTGTCAATATTGCAGTCTTCTTATTCAATGAGCAACCAGCCAAGCTTTCTAGAATCGAAGATTTGGATAGCAGGGTTTTCTTTTTTTTATGAGGTTTTTAAACTTCAACTTTAAGTACTTCTACTGGAAAAGAAATAGAGGACACAGCCTTTCTGGGTATAATTTTAAGAACTAAATGGTTCCCCCTAACCACTTTGCCATCTTGCGGGCTATATCCTCATCTCCATAAACAAGGGTTTGTGAACTTAACTATAATATTAATATTCCATTAATATTCCTAGAGTCAGATGTCTGCTTGCCCACTCTGAGAGATGCCAGTGCATCCCAGAATTACTTCAGCACCAAGTCGGCACCTTCTCTGAGGAAGTATGCAGGACACTAAACTGAGTTAGGAAAACACATGACGTAAGAGGGTAAATCCACGCCAATTATTTTCTCCTTTTCAAAGACAAGCGCACCAGAACACTAAAGGATTGTATTTTCCTCCCTTGACTTTTACTGTAAGAACAAATCACACATATTTGTACAAGATCCTTCGTGAAAGATGCTCTCATTAAAGAGAGAAAATAACACCAAGCGGGTGGTGGTGCAATCAGTAATGACACATTCCTTAAATCCCAGCACTCAGGAGGCAGAGGCAGGCGGAGCTCTCTGAGTTCAAGGCCAGCCTGAGAGAGTTCCAGGACAGTCAGAGCTACAGAGAAAAAACCTGTTCAAAAAATGAAAGAAAATAAGTAAATATTAGTATCACTATTCCCAAATTAAGAAGCAGGCTATTGCCAACGCCTCCAGAGCATTCTCACTACCCCTGCACCGTAGCTTATTTTGGGGTATACAAATGTATAGCATTACACAATGTACTCTTCTGTGATTTGATTCTTTCCTTAATATGCTTCAGCCATGTTAGTTTTACACAACTGTAGCTAATTTGTTGGTCTTATGAATGAATATATTACATAATTCATCCATCTTTTTGACAGTGAGCATTTGGGTTGTTTCCATTTTCGGCTGTTCAAAATAATGCTGCCGTGAAGTATGACTTTCACATGTCAACGATAGGAATGCTAAACATCACAACTCCACTGGGGAACTGACTTTCATTTTCTCCTAAGTTAAATATATACTTACCATATGGACCCCAATTTCACTCCTAGGAAGCTACACACACA